CCCCCCCCCCTGACTTTAAAGCTGGATCCGCCCCTGAACACACTTCACTCGCCTTCTCTTTGCTCGACCGTTTTTTTTTCGGTCGGTTTCTTCAAAAACTCTCCCGAATTTACATCCTTTCCATCTCCATGAACCAAGGAACGCAACGAGCACATTGAAAAACGCATTGGAGGCTTCAGATCAAGAAAAACCGACATTTTTGGAAAGTTATAAGTCTCATTATTAACTCAAACACCGTAAATATGCACATTTGGGCCCTTCTTAGGCCGGAACCAAAAACGTTCTTAAGAGTGAAGGTCGATTTTTCCTAGTCTATAGGATATAGAGTCTACACATAACTATTGGTTTCAGAAGTTTTGGGGCCAAATGTTCGGTGTGTCTGCGCGGCATCTCATCGAGCGATTGGGTGCGAAAAGCTCGCCAACACATTTACCATTTGGCGTGTTTTGCATGCGCCGCCTGCCATCGGCAACTGTCCACCGGCGAAGAGTTTGCCCTGCATGAGGATCGCGTCCTCTGCAAAGCCCACTATCTGGAAACCCTGGACGGAGGCGCCACCTCTTCTGATGGTAAATTTTTTAAGTAGTTTAACCAACCGCGGTCGGTTCTCCGATCGGCCGCAGAACGGGATTATTTACGGATTGAATTTGCCCCTTTATGCAGATGGTTGTGACGCCGACGGGTACCACAAAAACAAGGCCAAGAGGGTGCGCACCACGTTCACCGAAGAACAGCTGCAGGTGCTGCAGGCGAATTTTCAGCTGGACTCGAATCCGGACGGCCAGGATCTGGAGCGGATCGCTCAGATCACCGGTCTGAGCAAGCGGGTCACTCAGGTGTGGTTTCAGAACTCGAGGGCCCGCCAGAAAAAGCACATGCACACGGGCAAGACGAAAACGCAACGTAAGTTTCTACAGCTGTCCAATACTCGTTACTTCCACTCCGGATGAGGAACGAGTACTGGAGTAACAGTTACTTTTCTCCACCACTATTCGACGCCTCCCTCAACTGTTCGCTGAACTGTGAATTTTGTTTGCAGTGCACACGACCAGGGGAGAGGAGAACGGCTTCAGTAGACATATCAACCTGCATTTGACCTACTCGTTCCAGCAGCAGAACAAAAACAGCGTCTTTTCCCAACCAGGTAGGACCATTTATTTGCACTTAGGCGAAGAGTAATCGCTTCGTTCAATGAACAAGTGTTTAGCAGCTCTGATTGGTGGGGCGTTTACCGCCCGCGCCCCTTACTCACCGCGTAGGCATAGAGACGATCCAAGTTTGAAAGTGGGTGGGGCGCACATTTAGTCGGTGCACTTGGCGCCAATGCGTTGTTCGGGTTGTTTCGTCATCTTTACGAGGCACTTGACTTAAAAACACTCTAAATTTTGAGCTTTTTACTTTTGGTTTTCCAGTCAATGTCGTGCCCAAAGGCAAAAAAACATGTGAAAAACACACAAAATTGGAGATTCATCGCCTTTGGCCCGAAGTGGTCCCGAGCCATTCGAATATGACAACCCGTGTTTCTTGAAAAAATCGCATCTTCCAAACTCTACTAAGTAGAAACTTGAAATTTGCACCATGTTCAGACGATACTTGGCTCTTCAAATTCTGAAAGTTTCATGAAAATTTCAAATACACGTGCGATTTAACAGCTTATTAAACCCCATCGCAAAATTAGTTATTCTGCTAAACTGCGCTCTATCTTTTAAAAATTCGTAACTTCCAAATTCTACTAAGTAGAACCTTGAAATTTGCACCATGTTCAGACGATACTTGGCTCTTCAAATTCTGAAAGTTTCATGAAAAGTTCAAATACACGTGAGATTTGACAGCTTATTAAACGCCCATCTAAAAATTAGTGATACTGCTGAACTGCGCATCTTTTAAAAATTCGGATCTTCCAAACTAATGCAAGTTGGTACTTGAAACTTTAACTATTTTTAGAATGCACTGGTTTTTACCGACTGTCAAAGTTTCAAAAAAATCACTGATAATCCTGGAGTTTACTAGCTTATTAAATGTCGGTATGAAACTTTGGATGGTCGTGAATTTTGCGAAACTGCACTCTCTCCATTAAACATTTTTCTCTCCCAAACCAAAGCAAGTAGTAGCTGGCAACTTTAACCACTCATAAACGGCACCT